TCTCCCTCTCCCTCTCCCTCTCCTCTCCCTCTCCTCTCCTCTCACGCGCAGTGGGTCGGGAACTTACGAAGCTCATGGCGGGGAATCCAGCAAGCGGGGAATGTTCGATTTGACGCCGGGGAGATACGTTGAAACCCGTTATCAGGCACTTTTGGTGCTAATAAGAGAATTACATCTTATTTCTGGTACAAAAATAGTCCAATAACAAAACTTGACTTGTAGTCAGGAGCCGTTACTTCTACCATCATGATGATCCCGGCCCGGACGGCCCCCGTCCGGGCCGCCCGGCCCGGCCCGCACTCTGGCAGTGCCCCGCCGCGGATGATTGGATGGTGCCAGTGAGTGAAGGACCAGTGTGGTCCTGGACCGGCCATCGGATGCGTTTCAGTTTGCCAAGTCGGACGGTCGGATCACTGAGTCACGCGGCGGCCTGACTCGAACCGTGACAGCGGCCTGAGTCTTGCCGCCAGGGCCCCGGCGGCCCGGCCGCTCAGGCTGGCCGGGCCCGCCAGCCACTGCGCGCAGCCTGGCAGTGCGGCTGCCAGGGACACACTGAGAGAGAGCAACGCATCCGATGATCATCCTGCAAACTTGATAAAGGTGCCGCTGTGCAGTGGCCCCGGCCCGGATGTCAAGTGCGGTCCGATCGCGACCGGGCCCGGCCTGTGCTTTATAACTATTTTAATACCATCATTTTATGATTATTTGCACCACCTCTTGTACTGGAATGGATTCCATGAATCACTTCTGTACCGAAACAAGAAACATTTTAAACATATTTTTAATTTTATCAGTAACGATAATCTTTTTTGTTGGTTATAAACAGTACAAATCACAGATAATTAAAATGGTCAACAAATCTTTATAAGAAGGTTCAAAGGGTACAGGTCCTCCAACTTCTTCAAAGGGAACCATAAGGGAAGGGTAGGTACCCTACCTACATTCATAACGTTCATCAAAAGTCAAAAGTAGGGGTATTCTAGACTACCCCTGGGTACCCTAGACAGATAAGAGAGTACCCACCATGGCACCATCGGTCCTGGACGTCCCCCTGAAAAAGTGTCAACTTGTACAAGGCTTGCTTGAAGAGCAGGAGGGCAGGGAGAGGAGAGGAGAGGAGAGGAGAGGAGAGGAGAGGAGAGGAGAGGAGAGGAGAGGAGAGGAGAGGAGAGGAGAGGAGAGGAGAGGAGAGGAGAGGAGAGGAGAGGAGGGGAGGGGAGGGGAGGGGAGAGGAGAGGAGGGGAGGGGAGAGGAGAGGAGGGGAGAGGAGGATCAGGGGTACATCGATCACCATGAACATTCCGCTCTACCCCATGCCATCCAGTGCTTACCTGCACAATGGAGTAATGATCGATGGATGTTTGGTGGTGGTGGAGAACAGCAACGACACGGCTTCTACTGGTGGAATAACATCAGGAAACGATAAACCCAATGCATCATCAGACTCTGAACGTTGGGAAGAAAAGAATGAAGAGATGAAATCAGAATCTACGGTGAAAAGAGAATACAGTCAGAAGCCCAGAGCGAGCTTGCTTCGAAATTTCGTTGGAGATCAGTGCTTGCCTGTGGAAGTATCTTTCTCAAACTTGAAGATGGAGGTTCCAGATGCAAACGCTCGTGTCGGGCCCTGTGCCTCCCCTCCCAGGAAGACCATCCTCTCCAGCGTCACTGGCGTCTTCGAGCCGGGAAAGTTCACAGCCATCATGGGGTCGAGCGGAGCAGGAAAGACGACGCTTCTCAACGCAGTGGCAGGGGAGGCAGCAGGCGGCATCCTCTCGGGAGCTGTGCGGTTCAATGGAGCCAAGGTTGACACAGCTACGATCCGCAGGCTTCGCGCTTTTGTGTTCCAGGATGATGTAGTGATGGGTACCATGACAGCCTACGAGGCTATCAGCATGTCGGCGAAGCTGAGACTTCCCCCGGACATGCCGCTCGAGGAGAAGATGAGGCGAGTAGATCAGATGATTGAGATCCTTCATCTTGAACGCTGCAAGGACAACGTGATAGGCTATCCCGGAGAGAAGAGCGGGGTCTCAGGAGGAGAGAGAAAGCGTATCAGTATCGCCATGGAGCTTATCACGAACCCTTCTGTGCTGTTCCTGGATGAGCCAACTTCCGGCTTGGATACTCATACAGCACATAGCGTCTGCAAGACGTTGAAGGAGCTGGCTGCTGCTGGCAGGACGGTCGTTGCGACGATTCACCAGCCGTCCTCGGACATCTTCCACATGTTCGACAACCTGCTCCTGCTCGCCAGCGGTCGCATCCTCTACCAGGGGCCGTCTAGATCCTGCATGGACTACTTTGCAACAAGAGGCAGCCCATGTCCTCAGTTCACAAACCCGGCCGATCACATCTTCATGAAGGTCCTCAACGATCAGCTTGCCAGCAGTGAGCTCGAGCGCAAGGCGAAACGAGAGCAGATCGAGGGGTTGCTGTCGGAGTATGCGGAGTCTTCGACGTTCAAGGACATGGAGGCCCGCGTGAAGGTCCCAGGAAGCGGAGTGGACAAGAGCTCTTCCAGCTTCTCTCCCAGCCTGCTGCTCCAGATGAGCGTCCTCTTCGGCCGTGCAAAGAACAACGCGATAAGAAACCGGCTGATTCTCAGGGCCAAGATCGGCCAGTCACTGTTCATGGGGCTTCTTGTTGGGTTGATCTATCGTGACTTGCAGACTAACCAAAGGTCGATCCAGGTAAGCCTCATCTTGAAGCTCCAGTCGTTTTCGCTAACTGACAAGCGCCGTCAGGATCGGACCGGAGCCCTTTTCTTCGTATCTGTTAACGTCACCATGTCGGCTATGATGACAGGTGCTTACTAAGAGGCTTCCTGCTTTGGTTGTCATAAGTTGTTTTCGACAGTCATCACTGCCTTCGGTGTCGAGCGAGTCGTGTTTGAGAGGGAGCGGAGCATCGGAATGTACAGGTGGGTGTGACAGAGGAGGAGAGACAGTCGACTTAACTTGAGTTCCGACAGCACGTTTGCATACTTCCTAGCGAAAATCATTGTCGAGCTTCCACACAACATCATTTTTCCGTTCATACAAGCGAACATCGTGTACTTTCTGCTGCAGCTGCAGCTGTCAGGGGAAAAGTGGATCACCTGGTGTGATTTCTTTGATCTGTTTCTTTACAACTTACTCGGCATGCCAACAGGTGCGTCATCTTCCTCATGCTTAACAACGTCGGGAATGCTCTTGGGATCTGGTGAGTTACCAAGAGATGGGACGAGTTGCAATGATACTGCGTGCTACAGCCTAGCTTGCACGTTCAAAGATCTTCAGGCCACAATACAAGGAGGTAAGTCCATCTTACTTGATTTTGGATGGTATGTGAAGAATGATCAGCTCCGATTATCATCTTTCCTCTTATGCTCTTCAGCGGCTTCTTCGTGAATCAGAAGGGTAGCAAGTCAACCTGATTGTCAACCGTCGGTTCATGTTGCATGCAGGCATTCCTGTCTACTTCGATTGGATCAAATACATCTCTCCCATGCGCTATAGGTAACCCACACATGTCCTCTTGCTCCTCCTGCTCCTCCTGCCCTCCCCCCCCCCCTCCCCCATCCCTTTCCTCCCCCCTTGCCGTGAGCTACCATTACCGTGTTTCACTCTCCTCCCTCTTTTTCTCTCGCTCTTTACATCTCATCTCACTTCCTTCTTTTACAGCTTCGAGGCTTTCATGCTCAACGAGTGCACCGGTCACTCTCCTCTCCTACTGTTCACCTACTAGCGTCTCATGTCGAGCAGGTCTGAAGCTCAAGTGCGATGATAACGAGCTTGTCGCTCGACCCTCTTGTCCTCCCTTGAAGGTTCCAGCAGCAAGTCTCTCCTCCATACTGACCTCCAGCCCTCACAGGCCGGCACCGCCACCTCCCTTCCTGTCTACAAGCCCTGCTTCTGCCCCGTAGTGGATGGAGTTCAGGTCCTGCTTGCTCAAGTCTTGCTAGGGTCTGATGCTCGTGTAGGTGTTGAATCAGTTGAGCATGACAGGAGATCTCACGATCTGGTTCCGCCCCTCCTCCTCCTGCTCCTCCTCTTCCTCCTGCTCATCTTGCTCCTGCTCCTGCTCCTGCTCCTGCTCATCCTTTCCCGGCTCCTGCTGCATTGCTCTGCCTTACACATTCCTGCCTCGCCTCCTCCACCACTACCATCATCGCTGCTGTTGTCTTGACTCTGCGAGCAGGGGGAACGTCGGCGTCCTGCTGGGGCTGTGGTGCGGCTTCATCATCCTCGCCTTCCTCCTCTTGCACAGGTACGCGAGCAATCGCGAGCTCTGCGGCTTGACAGGTGGAGCAGACTGGTGGTGACGAGGGAGAGGCAGCGAGCGAAGCTGCTGTCCAACGACTCGTGAAGCAGCAGCGACTTGTGGGAGCGAGTGAGGAAGTGAAGTGAGCGAAGCAGGAGGATGTGAATTGAGGGAGAATCAAAACTTTCAATGAAGGACAAGGCGGAAGACATTGGGGTGTGATGGAGTTTGGATAGGACGTGAGCATCGTGGCAGTAAGTGCAGGAACGGACGAGGCAGAGAGCAACTTGAAGCAGGGCAAGCATCAATCCCCTCCTCTCGACCAAGATCAATCGTCCTCCGACACGTTGGACGGAGGGCCTGCGACTTAATGAGTGAAGCTCGTCATGTTGAGCACGCGTACCTGTAGAAGGACGGTTCCACAACTTGAGCTCACCGCTGTATGACACGGTGATCTGCAAAGAAATGAGATCAGACGTGAGAGAGAGGAGGAACGAGGCTTACGATTCCTTCCTGTGTGACATGCATGGAGGCTAACGGCTCCTGAGGAGGATGATAAGGCAGGAGCAGGAGCAGGAGCAGGAGCAGGAGCAGGTTGGAGGATGAGTGAGGATAGACAAGGACGAGATAAGAACAACTTGTTCCGAGGTAGAAGGTCAAGAGCAGAGGAGGAAGGAGTAGGAAGGAGGATAGAAATACCGCAGCGATGAGCGTATTGCTAATTGGCTCCATTGAAGCCACTTCCTCTGTCAAGAATGTCAGGAAAGTCTAAGGCCAGCACAAGAAGGTCGAGGAGCGGGAGCGGGAGTAGGAGCAGGAGCAGGAGCAGGAGCAGGAGCAGGAGCAGGAGCAGGAGCAGGAGCAGGAGCAGGAGCAGGAGCAGGAGCAGGAGAGCAGGGCTGGATGGGTGAGATGAAAAGGAGGGTCTTGCCTGCACGTGGAACCTCGGCTGTGTTTGACACAGCTCTTGCTGCCATCTTCTCTATCATGACTGAAACTTTACGTCAAGACATACTCCTGTGAAATGACTCCCTTCTCCTCCCTTCTCTCTTCTCCTCCCGTACCCTCTTCCCTCCTGTCGCCTCCCCTCCTGCGATCTCTCTCCTTCTCTTCGTTCTCTCCCTTCTCTCGCAGTCCCCTCCTCCTCCTCCTCCTACATGATGTGCTCTTTCTTGGCGCGCCTTGCCGCTTCCTGGAAATGATGAGATTGCCTTCGTTGAGGTCCCAAAAGCACAATCTGCCATCCTGCCACGAGATAAGGAGGAGGAAACAGAGGAGGAGGGGCAGGAGGAGGAGGGGGAGGGGGAGGGGGAGGTTGAGCGCGAGGGGGACGATGATGAAGAGGAGCAGGGGGAAGAGCAGGGGGAGGAGCAGGAGGAGGAGGGTAGTAGCGGTGGAGACTGGCAAAACCTGAGCAATGGAGAGGAAGCGATAATTGCTCGCTGGACCTCCTTCCCTGTTCGAGGAGCTGGAGCAGAAGGCCGGGTCAAACTGAACGGAGCTGATCCAGCTGTTGTGTCCGAGGCATCTCGCTACTGCACACCTGAGGAGGAGGTGAGAAGAGGAGATAGAGGAGGAGGACGTAAGAGGAGGACGAGGAGGACGAGGAGCAGACTTACTTCTCCACAAGAGACCAGACGACAACAACGTCATCCTCCCCTCCGGTTATCAAGAAGCTCCCGTCGGGCGACCAAGCGCAGCACAGGATCGCTCCATACTGCAACATCATTGAGAAAAGCATGGGAGGAAGAAAAGGAGGAAGTGGGCCGAAGCGCAAGGGACAAGAATAAGAGGGGAGAGGAGGGAGGGAGGGAGGGAGGGAGGGAAAGAGGAGGGAGGGAGGGAGATAGGAGGGAGGAAGGAGAGGAGAAAGAAAGAGAAGAGAGGAGGAGAAGAGATGAGAGAAGTGGAAATGAGCAAGACCTGACTCCGCAAGGAAAAGATCAACTTCTCTGTCGGATAATGAAAAATTCGAGCGTTTCTGCAAGAGCATGGCAAACCATCACCTTCAGCGGCAGACAGTTTGATCACATACCCGTCATGGCAGCAAAGGCACATTGTGTTCTCTGCAGAGAAGGAGATGTAATTTACAGGACCCTTGGCTACGTGCCATCTACTGATCGGGTTCTTATTCGTCTTGGGCTTGGAAACGCTGAAGGTGGAGGAATCAAGGTTGGAACTGGAGGAGTCGGAGGTGGGAGTGGAGGCGTTGGCTGCTGCCATGCTCTTCTGCGAAGCATCTTCCTTGTCTGAAGACCGACAGAGGGTGAGGAGACGCGAAGCGCGACTGAGTGGAGGATGATGGGAGGAGGGGGAAGGGAAGACAGGGCGAGGGGATGAGGAAGGGAAGTCAGGAGAGAACGAGAGCGTCATGGGCGGAGAAGGACACGAGGAGAAGATGGAAGGTGGGGGGGGGGAGGAAAGGAAGAGGAGGAGAGGGAGGGGAAGGGAGGGAGGGGAGGCAACCTTTGTCAAAGACTAGCAGAACTCCATTCGAGAAGGCGGCCAAGAAAATATTTTTCGACTGTCCACAAGAATTTTTCTCGTCAGTTTGTTGCCATCAGGCTTCGAGCTCTCCTCACATCCGGTACCCATTTCACGTCCATCACTCGTGAATTGTTTAGATTCCCTCCTGTGTTGTACTTGGAGATAATAGACAGGTTTATCCCGTCCACCAGTAGGATTTCACCTGCACATTCCCATCACTATTGCGCTAGACACGAGCAAATGCCATGTTCCCACCTGTCTCGCATCCTACAAGGATCTCTAGATATTCCAAGGTAGATGTCACGTTATTGATACAGCAGCACGTGATCTGCAAAGATCCGAAACCGTCAACAACAACAACCATTCCCATCCCCTCCATCCACCTCGTTCGGGAGTTTCTTCTCCCTCTGAGCGTTCTCGCTGTCATTAAGGCTAAGATTCACAATGCAAAGGCTGCAGCAGATGTCATCATCGCTTCAACCACAAGTACAACATCACCAATCTCCGGACGGATAAACATAATATTCTGTCGAGCTCCCCTGAGGCGATGGCGTCTGAAGATGTTCAAATAAAGATAGTTCCTCGCCCCCCTCCTCTCTCATCGCTGCTTGCGTTCACATCCTCCTCCTCTCTCAGCTGTGCTCACCTGAGGTGAAGAAGAACTCTGAGATTTCCTGCTGATTCCAAACTTGATCTTCCCCTTGGGTGGGGAGCTGGCGAGCATTCAGATAGCAGAGCCAACGTTCTCCTTCACCTTGGCTGCTTGGAAGCAGAAATTTGACTATATGAAGACTTGAATCCTCGTTGTATACTTCCTGGTACCCTGTCGAGGCTCCTCTCAGCTTCTGATCCCCCCCACCCCAGCTCTCTTCGTTCAGAAGCTCTTGAATCACCGTGATCCTACGATTGGGAACGCGCTAGTGGTCCGATACATCCCCTCCGGCAGCGGGATGTGGTTTTTGATTTGTGGCTTGCTATCCATACCTAGAGGACAAGCAGTTATAACGATTTCCTTTTGCTGTAGCGATATCCTGAATCTTTTGATCCTCTGCAACAAGAGCGTCCACTCCCATCACTTGCTTAACGTATGTACAAACATCTTGTTATCAACTTCACGTCAAAACCTCCCTGTTTCTTCACCCCCTTTCTATCTTGTCTCATCTCTTTGCTTACATCCTGCTGAACTTCATTTTCACCTTGTTCCATCAGTGCTGGCGGCATGGCGCTTCGAAACGGTGGGTGGGGGTAGATAAATTAGTCTAAAATTGGGGTACTTTCCCCCATAGAATTACACAAAGGCAGGGGTAAGGTGGAACAAAAGGTAACAGGGTGGGGTACTGTGATAAACCTGAGTCCGCCTCATAGTCATGCCATCCATCAAGTTCTTCACTGCAGGTGCGGATAGTCCTCGTCATGCTCACGCTTTGTGGTGTCCGACTTGGCTCTGGTACTTGGGGGATCACCATGGAGCTACGCTGACAGCGGAGTGCGAGGGATGCTCGCCTATCATAGTATCGATCTCGCATGGGTCTTGCCGTCCTCCTTGCAGGAACCTGCATGTTCCCCTGCTTGTCGTGCATGCCGCTGCCGCTCGTGTGGTAGGAGTAGAGGTTTTCGCTGCCTCCTCCGAGGCTTTTCCCGGCCCATCGGATTCTGTTGAGGCGGGTTTGAAACTTGTCAACATGGCCCTGAAGATCCGACGATCACCGTGACCTCACTGAGGGCATTTTGAACTTCCGCAATCATAGGAGGCTAATGGAGGCCGATGACCGCACGAGTTTGAAATCCTCGACTTCAGCACAGCGGCATTTCACATGTGTTTGACAACGATGGGATGCTGGACCTGGCTCGGAGCAAACTTGAAACTGCCGCAGCAGCACATCGCCAGCACTGATGGACTCCTGCAGGATGCCGCGTTGGCTTCCTGTGGTGGCTGGCAGATCGCTCGGCGAACAAGGAAACGGCAGCGTTGGACGGTCTGACGGCCTCGCAAGACGTCTCAGGTGACTCATCCAACTTGTAAACGCATCCGGTCCGGGTCCAGGATCTTTCGTCAGCGCCATCATCGCGGGTGCGTTCCGGTATGCCTCTCACTCCTTCGGCGACATACTATGTGCCCACCGGTCCCGTCGAGTGAGCGAAGTACCAACATTATGATAGACGCATGCGAGCCGCTAGCACATGGGCCGACCGTCCGATCCAAGTCAGTCGGAGCGGCTCCCGGCCGATGCTGGCCGCTCCGCAGCCGAGCGGCAGTTCTATTCTGAGATAATCGGATGGTTGTATTATATCATAGAGGCAGTTCAGCCTGAGATAATTGGATGGTTGTATTATATCATAATGTACACTGGACACTTACTTAACCAGCAACTGATAGTTGCACGGGAAGCGCTCAGACTCACGCACTGACACGAGGATCATCTTTCAAACATGTTCAACTTGCTCCGAGCCTTGTGCAGCCCCCAGCAAGGTTGAAGGACGGCGGAGGACTCATGCCCTTCATAACATCAACAAGAGAGCCATTCAACGGAGACAGGTCGATCAGGCGATCATGCCTCCCCGACATGACTGAAGTCATCCAATGCCCATGCAAATTCACCTTGGCGAGGAGATCATATGGTTTGCTGTGCGCTTTCTCGTCGTACGAGTGACTGCAGATCTCATCCCATCGCCTTCCAGCATTCGTTGGAATCAGCACATTCGAGGTGAAAGGACTTGTGCTGCGCAAGTCCAAACTGCTATCCAGGTCATCAAGATCTCCTGTGGACCATGATTGGTTGACCGCATCTTTCCAAATCTGGCTTGCTGTAAGCATATCCGATACACAGCTTTCGGGAGGATTGAACAAATTCTTGGGCAGCTGATCAGATGATACCTCACCCCTGTTGCGATCACGACCCACAACTTGATCGTCCGGGTCGTTGAGAGTTCCAAGATTATTCGTGATGAGGCCATCCAAGACGGTCATACAGTCCTCGAAGCACGCATCGTTAATGTCACTGTGTCTCCGACGATCTCCTTCTGAGCTCAAGGAAGCGTTCTCGGTCATGCACGATGCGGTTCGGGGCTCCATGGCTAATTTTGCCTCCTTCGGTTTCGGGCGATTGCATCGTTTTCGGTTCTTTGCTAATTCCTTGGGGCGGATCTGTTTGTATAAGCGATCACAAACGAAGAAGGCAAGTCAGAACTCCGACTTACACTCTTATGCACGAACTTTCCTTTCAAATGGCATTGTTTCAGCACCTGTATTGTTTCAGCGACTACCAGGCACCAGCTTGCAAGGAGAAAACTTCTTACCGTTCTTACATCATCAATAGCTGCATCGACAATATCGAGCAAGAAAGGTATTAGCTCAAGCAGAGCTGTGTCACTAGTATCTCCGAAGAAAGGCTTTATGGGAATAGCATTTTCAGGCTGATCAACATGGTCAGACTGAAGAAAGATCCACGGCAAAGTCGGCAAACCTGCATGAGATAGCTTTCTGGCGAGTTGTCGACGATGATTGTTTTCGCAAGATTTCTGTTCAGCCTTGAAAGATCCTACTTGATGTCAGTTTTCTTAACTTAAGAGAGCCTTTTCACCTTCACGTGCAGCCCTTTTAAGTGACATGTATGCTCGCGGAACAATCGATGGGCAATAATCTGTTGATTGGCAAACAATGATGAGTACAGAACCCTGACTCTTCCCTAGAGCCAATCAAATGAATTGCACTCACCCCATTCATATCCAGTTGATCAATTATCGGTGAAGCGTACTCGCGAAGTCCGGATGTGAAGCAAACAATCTCATACTTTTCACCTCTTCGAGTGTAAAGAGTTACCCAAAGTACACCAGTGGCAAACGACAATCGAACGAAGAGAACAGAAGAACAGAAATGGATGAGTCAAGTCTCTTCTACAGTGCGATTGACTCACAACGCTGCAAGAAAGCTTGATACGCCAGGGCGCCGATGTGTGATCCACCCGGCACCTTCCTGTAACAACGATATCATGCCGGATACCTTGCTGGTGCGAAATGCAGGCGACAACGAATAGCATATAGACATTTGGCAAGCCAACATGCGCACTAATTGTCCAAAAGACCATATGATCTTCAAGAATGAAGTAATCCTCTTACATTGAATTCGGTGTGGACCAACGTTTCATCAAGATCCAACACCAGTGTTCTCTTGTGTCGGTCAGTATCCGTGAGATCAGGAAGACATCCTTGATTGTCACTATCGAAGGTAAGATCATAGTTCTGAGCGAAAACACTACAGTTAGCTTTGCAGGACACATAAAAGAGGGAAATGGTAGAAAACTACAGAACTTGTAACAAAATGCCATGGTGAAAATATCGACTCAAATGAGATGCAAGAAGAATGAGGCTTGAACAATCATGTACCGGGTTGCCAAACTCATCCTCGGTCCCTAGAATGTCCTTTCGAAGACTGCTTAGCCATACTTTCTGCAAGGAAATTTACATCCCGGTTTTACCAAATTACCGAGGCATCCATTTGAGAGGATACACGTGCACGGAGTACAATCTGAAGCCAAAGACTGAAACATCGAAGCATAGCAATTATTTTCACACGATGAGCAGTTGAGATGATTACATGATCGCTCAGAAAGGGGAAACATGAATCAAATGTATCAACTGATCCAACTCCCGACACGGAGCTACGAGAGCAAACTCTTTCACAAGGGAGAAGAGAGAGGAGAGAAGCGAAAGGACAGCGTGAAGAAAGGCTAAACTAAGATCGGCCAAGGACGATTCACCTGGAAACGCAACCAACTTCTGTCCCTGCGGCTACTCGACTGCGACGAGCCGAAACAAGGAGGCGGCATGGAGGCGACTTGAAGTCAGTGTATTCACAGTCGGGGGTGATCAAGAGGTGTTATTGGGGGTAGGGGTATATTTCAGTAGGTGGGTAGTTTGCAGTAGTGATTCGTCAATGGGGGTGATTGAATGATGATGCTTTGCGATTACCGGGTGCTAGAAGAGATAATACTGTGAAATAAAGGGTACTTACTTCGCAAGGTCCTCATTTTCTGAGGGTGGGTACATATTTCAGGGGTTGCATCATAGATTGGTGGGTAGCACTACCCTACCTACCCTCAGGGTTCAATCGTTTGGTAGGATTGATACCCACCCAGTTTGTGAATGGACAAAGATGGGTAGGTGGGGTGACACTACCCCCTTGCTATACTTTCTCACCGGGTGGTTTGTGAAGATGTTTTGTGGTAAAATATATAGGTGGGGTAGTATAACCCACCGGTTCAAAATGATGCAACTGTTGGGATCCCTGAGGAAAAGCTGGGGTAGGCTTCATGGCCGAGATGAGTAAATATTAAAAGGTAATTTAATTGTCCCCTTCTGATTTCATTTGAGAATGTGCAAAAAATCGCTTCCATTGCTCACATCTTGATTATTTTTCAAATATAACAAACAAATTTCAACTTAATTTTTAAACTTGTTTTTATTTTTTTAGGTGATTTTTCCAACCCAAATCGGGGGAAAAAGGATTTTATATGTAAAACTGTTTTAAACTCTGCTCACAAAGTTAAAAAAAATTAATAATCAAGATTTTTTTTCATAAAACCTTGTTTTTATCCAGGCTTTCACTTCTGTACTGTGCCTTTCAACATCCCCAGTACATCATACAATTTAAAAAAATTTATATAGATCTGTATATCAAAGTTTACTTATCATTGAAATCAAATATACTTTTTTTGATAACCCGGGCTCCTCCTAGCAAGGGGCGGGGGCGGGATTGCGGAGGGTACTCAAGGTAAGAAAGAATTCAGCCTGGTAGGGTCAATCATGACATGATGGGGGTACTTTTGTGGCTATTTGGGGGTGAGGGTCATGGCTTCCGTGCTAAAACGGTAGGGTGGGGTAGAGTGGGGTAGAGTGAGGTGGGGTGGGGGTGAGATTGCTCTGCGACCTGGACGGAAAGGGGTGGGTACTGTAATGGTGGGAGACAACAGGGGAATGGGGGGTACTTTCCCGTTGGATGAAGGTGGTGGGGGTGATTGAGAAGGGGTGGTCTTACCAGGAACTTGCAGCAGGAAGTAGTTTGCCGGGAGCTCTTGTTGATGTGCGGAGCAAAGTGAAAGAGGCGGGAAAAAGATCGAAAGACAAAGAGAAGAAGACAGAGCAAGAGTCTGGACAAGACACTGGAAAGAGAAGCGAAAGAAGCACCATGGCGTCTTCAGGCAGTTCAACTCAAGACATGATTTCGGATTTCTTTGACATCCTCCAAGATGAGGCGGTCGAACTTGGGATGCAAAGACTTGGCCGAGAGCCGGTCGGGATGGAGAAAGAGTTTCATTCGCGCATCGTGTCTGAAGCGCTCAGGGTGTCATTTGCCGTATATCTGCATGAAGTTAGCGACAAAGTTGATGAGCTGCCAGCCGAGTGTCACTTAAATTTGTCGTCGAAGTATTCTCAACGAGTGCTGCAATTTTACCATTACTTGAAAAGAGAGTCGCAAGTTAAGTTTGGAGGCCCGCGATCAATTGCAAGTATCATCCATCAATCCTATATCAACAGAAAAAATGATCACTGCAAGATGCTGGCTGAGAATCTCACAGAGTGTGTGAATTTGTACTTCAAGTCACTTGACTTTTGGCAAGAGACGGACTCTCTCTATGTGACAAGGGGCTACTATGAGTTTGTCAAAAGGGATGTTGAAATATTCTCCAAGCGGAACTGGCAAAGATACACCAACGAGTCAGGTCGTATCAAGGAACGTGCCCAGCAAACTTGCATCTTTGTGCTCAATACAGTGTGGGACATCATTTCATCGTACTTACCGTTCCGCGACGAATTTCAAAGGAAAACTGATGGGTCAGTAGTTTTCTTTTTGATCCTACTACGAGCATATCAAGATCAAGAACTCCTCCTGGATGCTGATAGTGTGCATGTCATCGGGAAATTCTGTGCGATTTATTGCCCGCAAGCCATAACGGTCACTTGTTCCATCTTCAGCAAGCTCTCATTTTGGAACCTTCTGCACCTTATCTTGAACGTCATTCCGTATGCTGAGGATGCCGCTGAAGCAAGGAAGAACAGAAAGCAGGTATTTGAGCTCTTATTCAACTTGAGGAGCAGGGCTGCTCCTTTTTCCGAACAGTTCACGTTGCTTCTTCAAGAGTTTGGAACTGTTCCTGGCTCGAAATTTGATCCTGTACAGAAGCTCTTGACATCGACTGCGCCTGCTGTTTGAAAGATGTGTGCTTCTGCCACCGGACCGGCCCACTATCATATCGAACAGGCCCACACGGCACTGTCAGGCTGGACCGGGACGCTGCAGCCGAGCCCGGTCGGTCAGTGCGGCCGGTCACCGGGTGACCGTGCTGGAGCAAGCTTCAATGGCAGCCTCTGAACTCCAGAAGATTCTCTGTCTACTGATATCCTACAGTGAGCGCCGACTCGGAGATTTTGAAAATTTCAAGGACTCCGATGATGAGTGCCTTTCAATTGCACTTGAGTCTTGATGATATAATAAACTTGACTTTGAGCTTAACTGACCAGGGGCACCCTGAGTCGTGCTGTGAACAGTCAGTCAGCGCCAGCCACCGTGACTCACTGATGCGCCGGGGCGATCGGACTCGTCACGGTGCCGAGGCCGCGCTGCGCCGAGGATGGCCCTCGGCCGCCGCTCGGACTCATGCTGGCCGCACCGCCGAGATGCCATGATGACCTTTCAAGTTCAATCAGTTTGCCGTCACCGTGCACTGACCGTGACGGCGTGGCCGCACGCCCGGCCGCGCGGCCGCGGCCGGGCAGCGCCGGCAACCTGACAGTGACGGTTAGAGAGTCGAGGATGCTTGACTTGACGGCCGGGATCATTGATCACAGGCCCGACCGTGGGCCTGCCAGCCCGCCGCGGCCGGGCCGGCGGCCCGGCCGCACTGGGACTCGCCGCCGCAGCCTCTGCCTAAACTTGAAACTTCAAGTCACTGAGTAATCAACTTGGCTTGAATAAGGCAGCGATAATGCAAAAGAAAACTGACATAAAGAAGTTTTGCTGTCCTCCACGGTCGGACAGAAAGAAAGCGCCATGGAACGAGTGCAGCTACAAGTGCGGGCGAATGCGGAGGAGATGGCGGCATACGTGAAGGATCTAGGATCATGGGAGGAGGAAGTGAAGAAGAAGGACAAGAAGTTGTTGAAGGGAGATCTCAACCCAACCTCCAGGAAGGCTCTGCCAGGAGTGAGGAAGAAGGGTTTTGCTGAGATGGTTCCATCAGGAGCCCCCGGACCGAAGGACGAGGAGAGGAGGAGAGGAGGGAAGGGGGAGGAGGGAGGAGAGAGGATAAAGCCAAAGACGTATCAAGACTATGGCCAGTGGGACAAGTTTGTTGCGAAAGACCTGGACAAGATGATAGAGGAATTCGACGAGAGCGACAGGCAAGAACAAGAGGAGAAGCACAGGGCGAAGTTGGCCGAGGAGAGAAAGAAGATCGAGGAGAAAGAACAAGAGATCATGCGGGCTAGGGAGGAGAGCGATCGCATCAAAGACGAAGGAAACAAACTTTTGATGGCTGGCGACTATGAATCCGCCATAACCAAGTATACAAGGAGTTTGGAAAGGAACCCAAAGAACGCCATATCGTTCGCTAACCGCGCTCAGGCATACATCTCTACCAGTAGCTATGAGAAGGCTGTGGAGGACTGCAACCGTTGTCTTGAAATCGATCCGAGATACGTGAAAGCTTACTTGAGGAGATCGACTGCCTATATGAGAATGGATGTACCTAAGAAAGAGTTGGCGATTGTAGACCTGAAGAAGGTGAGCAGATCTTGTCTTGTCTTGCCTTGCCTTGATCTTGGCGTGTCTTGTCGTGTCTTGTCGTGTCTTGCCTTGTCTTGTCTTGTCTTGATCTTGTCTTGTCTTGTCTTGTCTTGTCTTGCCTTGCCTTGTCTTGTCTTGTCTTGATCTTGACTTGTCTTTATCTTGATCTTGGCGGGCTCTTTCCAGCATTCATATGACTGCATTTTGACATCAGGTCCTCCTGCTTGAACCAAACAACAAGCAGGCTAAAGAAGACCTGCAACGACTTCAGCCGCCTCCCGAGGTCAAGGAAGAGAAGACCGCACACATCAGTGAAGTGAAGGGCGAACCTCAGGTACAAAGATGTCTTGATCATGTTAGAGAACGAAAGCCAACCACACAGCTCACCTGATTTCTTTCTCTCCATATTGCTTTTTACAAGAAAAGTATTAATTTGCGATGTTTGCAGCAGAAGAAAACAGAAAAAGTCGGGCGAAGGCTGAAAGTTCGAGAGGTGAACAAGCTTTTGGCATGTTCAGCATGTCAAATGTTTTGACAGGTGGACGAAGAAGGGGAGGAGATATCTGAAGAGCACAAGACGAAGGGGAAGCAGCAAGAGGTCCAGCAGCAGCAGCAGGAGGGAGAGGACGGGAAGGGAGCCAAGACAAAGAGTGTAGGAGAAGAAGAAACAGCGAAGGCTGCGAAGAAGGTGAGAACAAAGATGAGAATGTGATGTGCGATCCATGAAGTTGAAACATGATTCATGATGTCAAGTGATGATGATGATGATGATGATGATGATGATGATGATGATGATGATGATGATGATGATGATGATGATGATGATGATGATGATGATGATGATGATGATGATGATGATGATGATGATGATGTTGATGATGATGATGGTTGTTCCGATCATGCCTGAAATGACTGTGTTTGTCAACATGATAAGAAATCGTCTGATGTTGTCGACGTCACCAGGTGATTTCTCACGAGGAGGCGAAAGTTCTCGCGCAGCAGGCGAGGGATGCGATCAATGCACGAATATCGAGTGTGCCCGACAAGGTGAACGAGGAGAAGGGATGGAACAGATGGAGATCTTGATGCGCGTGTGAACATGCTGCTGATCTTGTTGATGTTGTTGTCGTGGTGGTGGTGGAGCAGGAGCAGGAGCAGGAGCAGGAGCAGGAGCAGGAGCAGGAGCAGGAGCAGGAGCAGGAGCAGGAGCAGGAGCAGGAGCAGGAGCAGGAGCAGGAGCAGGAGCAGGAGCAGGAGCAGGAGCAGGAGCAGGAGCAGGAGCAGATAGTGGTGATGATGATATTGTTGGAGGTGCGCGTGATGATGGTAATGAAGATGAGTTAGAACGGGTAGCGGATGATCTAGGTATATATTGTGATTGAGATGCGTTCAGATTCCATCAAATTCGACGGAGTTTCAGCGAGCGTGGAAGCGAGTCAGTCGAGACCGAGAGAAGCTGTTTGAATTTCTTTCAATCATCCCTTCTTCCAAGTAAGTGAGAGGAGAGGACACGGGGGGGGTGGGGGGGGGTTGGAGCAGGTTAGGAAGGAGGGAGGAGGAGGAGTCAATGTGGGAACAACGGAAGGACAGAAACAGGGACAAGGGCTGGAAATTTTTCATCGTGATATCTGAATGATGGTTTCTTGAACAGTTTTGTTCAATATTTCAAGACTGAAGTGAATGAGGAGGTCTTTGCTTGCGAACGACTTGTTCAGGTCTGATGAACATCCACAATAGATCTTCCTGTCGATCCTCGCGTGCATTCATGATTTTTTCGTTGAGAAGAATCCTTCTCATGGTAAGAGATGGATCATTGTGCGAGTGAAAGTGAAAATCGTCTCAACCGACCTTGCTTCTCCCATGTGATCAGAATCGTGATGGTATCGACTAGATCTGGAATCGAATCTTGTTCTTGATCTATTCGTGTTTGTTGTTTCTGCCGCAGTCTGTTGTGTGCACAAGTAGATAACATGTCTTTTGTTGTGTCATTTCATGCCATGATGAGATGTTCGCAGGTTTGGAGATCCTAGCGTCTTTCATCAAGGTTTTCCATATCTGAGATGGTGACGACGATGGTGTTCACAAAGCTCATCAGGTCCCGAGGATAGAGATCGTCCTCAAGTTCCTCGATGCAAGCGCCAAGAGTCTGCTGAGCGAGGTCGTGGGGAGGAGAGGGGAGGAGGGGAGGAGGGGAGGAGGGGAGGAGGGGAGGAGGGATCACTGAAGTAGCAAGTAGTGAGACTTGTCGCAGACGTTGACGTCACTTGAAGCCCTCGGGCTCGACAACGGCAGGTGACTTGTCAAGCTTGACGTGAGTGTGCTGAGGTGCGGGGGCTGATGGGAGTTTGCAGCACAATTCACCAACAGTACAAGAAATATCTCGAAGGGAAATGAGGAGAGTTTCACCATCATTCCTCCTCGTTAACAAGTTGAACTAGTTTCTTGCATGTTGTTCCCTGACTTTCTCTTCGCTTTCGCATCAAAATCTTAAACCCCTCCACACAAGCTCAAAACTTATACTCCATCTGCTCCAGCAGACCCCCTGCTCCAATGTCAGCACAACCCTCCTGTTACCGTCTCCTCCCTTCCTGACTCTTCCTCTCCTCTCTTGTCCCCTTCCCCTCTGTCCTCCCGCGCATCTTTTCAGATTCTCCTCCTCCTCCTCTTCATCCCCTCCTCTTGCCTGGCTGGTTGTAGAAAGCACGCAGCGGGTTCCTCTGAAGCTTCAGCGATGCTGTCACCAGCCCGCTCTCCTGCTCACTTCATCAGACCCCCACCCCCCCCATCCCACCCTCCTCACTTCCTCCTCTTCTGCTCCTTATCCCCTTCCACCTTCCCCCTTCTCCCCCAACTTCACTTACGGGAGTCCATATGGTGTCGTCTACTTTGATCTTGGTAGGGATCTCAAACCGAGACAGTCCGACCTCCCTCAGCTTCTTGGTCGCGTCAGCTACCAGAACAGCTTCGTCAGGTCGTCCTCCTACTGACCCCCAGCCCTTCTCAGGCTGCGACACGATAGCAACGCAGTAGTTCATGTCGGACTTGGCGAAGACGCAGACGCAAGCTATCCCTTGCACTTGCTTCAGACAGGCCTCCACCTTGCCGAGAGCTACAAACTCTCCTCCTGCGAGCTTGATCAGGTCCTTCTTCCTGTCGATGATCCGCAGGGCTCCATCCTTCTCCATTACAGCCACGTCTCCAGTGTGGAACCAGATCTTGCCGTCTGCATGCTTCCTGAAGTCTTCCGCCGTCTTGTCCGCCATCTTGTAGTACCCAGCAGACACGTTGTTGCCTGCTATCAGCACTTCTCCTCGAGGCTCCGGGTCCGTGACAAGATAGTTCATCTCGGGGACAGACAGCAGCTGATAGCGAAAAGAAAATCAGAACGTCCCTCCCGACCCCTTGCCCCTGCCCCGTCTCCTTTCCCTGCCCCTCCTCCACCTCCCTCCCCTCCTCTTCGTTCTCCTTCTCCTCCTCCTCTTTCTTTCCCTGCTCCTCAGTTTTCTCACCTTGATCTCATTCGCCGGCTGGATCGCTCCCACCCTCCCGTACGTCTCGTCTGCTGGCCGCGACCCGCTCCTGACTGCCTCCTGGACAGTCGCGCAGCTCGTCGTCTCTGTCGCGCCATAGCCTTGCGCCACAGGACTGACCAGCGCAGTCACAAACTGCTGCGTCTCAGCTCCTAGAGGAGCTCCACCGCATACAATCAGCCGCACACGATCTAGCCCAGCGATCTTCTTGACCTTGCCGAGCACAGTGTTGTCCAGGAAGGAGCAAATGCCGCAGCCAGCAGGTTTCTTCATCCTTCTGTTCATCGCTCCCCAGAAGAGCTTCTTCTTGAGACCTCCTCCGTCCTCCACCTTCTTCATCAGCCCCGTCCTGATCGCCTCGAGGATCGCTGGCACTGAGGGCATGATCGTGGGCCTGAGCGAAGTCAAGTCGGGGCTGCTGCTGTCTCCGTGCATGATGTAGGGGCTGGAGGCGGTAAGGGAGCGAGGGTGTGCGTATCCTATCGTTGCTCCCTGGCACATGCTTGTGACTTCGATGACGAGCTCGAGGATGTGAGCGAGGGGGAGGTAGGAGATGAGCACGTCGCCTGCTCTCGGGGTCACGCAGTCCTGAGCGATGACGGAGGCGAGGACGGAGACGAAGTTGGAGTGGGAGAGGATAACGCCCTTGGGTACCCCTGTGGATCCTGACGTGTACATGATGAAGGCCACATCGTCTGCACGAGGAGCGAAGGCCTGCAGGTCCAGGTCGACCTTCTGTCCGATGCTCATGAGATCCTGCAGGGTAGTCGAGGAGGCTGCTCCGATGAGCGGGAAGGACGAGGCCTCATTCAGCTTCGGGTACGGGTTGTGTGGTGCCCCGACGGTAGACAGCGGTGCCAGGTCTTCTCCGATGATGACGATGTACTTGAGGGCCGGACACTGCGCGAGAACCTTATCCTTGAGGGTCTTGTACAGGCCCCAGTCAACGAAGATCAGAACTGCCTCAGTCTCCAGCAGCCCGTGCAGCATCGCTTCATGTCCCAGCGTCGAGTAAACTGTGGTGATGGTACACCCTGCTGCGAACGAAGCCTGTGCTGAAATCATCCAATCCGCTGAAGTCTCAGCGAGGATGGCAAGGATGCACTCCTTCTTCTGCTTCCTCCTCTCTGCTACCTCTGACAACGACAGCAGCCCTTTGGCAACAGCCTTCACCTCACGGCCGACTTGTGCATAGGTGCGAGGGGAGTACGGGCCTGTAGAACGATCAGAAGAGCTCAAAGACGTGTACAGGTCATGCCTTTCTTCCAGAATTGCTTGCTGCCTTCAACCTTGCACTCTTCGACTTTCCTGGTGTACATGCAACATCTATCGGCATGAACCTGCGTTGCCTTCTCGAAGCAGTTGAAGATGGTAGCTTCCGACCCTCTTAGCATCTCTGGCACCCTTGCCAGCTCTCCTCCGTTCTTGTCCACACACCAGGTGTGCATCCAGTGTCGAGTATCCGGCTCATCGCATTCCAGCTCCACCGCGTATGAGGAGCGGGACTTGATCTTGGGTTGGGTCATGGTGTCTGCGAAAACCATGTCTCAAATGTTTGTCATTGACAGTCATGCTTCACTATTTGCTGATTTCCTACTCTTCTCGAACTCCTGCATGTCTAACTTGTACATCTTGACCTAACTTGCTTTCCTCTGTGCCTTTGTCTCCTCCTCCGTAAAAGATTTTTGAGCGTTGCACCCATCGTTTTCGTCCTTATTCTCTATCCTTTTCTGTCTTGCTCATTGTCGCTTTCCTCTGCTCATCTTTCTGTGCCTGAACCTCTTCCTTTCTTCTTTCTTGTTGTCGTCCATGCCTTCCTCCGTCTATCCCATCCTCTTCCTCCTCTCCCCTCTTCCACAACTTCGCACGACCGTTCCATCCGACCATTGCGCATACAAATGACTACTACAGGACAACCCCCGCCACATGCATAACCCCCAATGAATCGGAATTGCACAAAAGTACCCCTCCTTTTCTCAACAAAAACCTTCACAATATAGGGTACAAGAGTAACCCCTACCCCCTCTGACGATGGGCAGAACAAACATTGTTTTTCAAACTGGTGCTGAAAACGATCGTTTTCGAGACGCTTCGGGCATAGTATGACCCGTCACTTCACCCCTGGAGCTACCAGTACCGGTCCATTCCGCCGGTCTGTCTAGGGGTAAAGTAGTTGACTACCGTAGTATCTCCGTTGCCTCTAGTTTGTGCTCCGAAGCCCCCGGGCCCCTGCACTGATTTAGAATTGAACTTTACTCAAACTACTCTCCTGGTAGTCCTCGTACTGATCTTTAACTTAACTTTGAGTAAAACCTAGGTTTAGATTTGAACTCTCGGAACCTTTTTCAGACCGTCCGACGGTCTCCCGACACGCCGGTCGCATCTTCCGAGTGGCACTGCGGCAGTCAGTGTCAGTCCGACACGTACTGTACTACGGTAAGGGGCCGCCCGGGCCCGACGGTTCAAGCTGCGGCCCCGCCGGGCCCGCCGCCGGCCGGGCCGGCGGTGATTGGACTCCGAGGCTCCCGGGAGGCCACCTCCGAGCGGACCGGCGGGTCCGAGCCGCCCGGCCAGCGACGGGGCGCCTCGCCGGTGTCCGTCACTGGGGGAGGGGGGGGCGCGGCTGGTCAACTTACTTTAGGCTTGCCACTGCAAGTTGGGCACCGTGCGGCACCGTGGCACTGCCAGGCTCGGCGTGACTCGCCTGGGCCAGGCTGACGGTCACCTGCGGCGCCCCCCGGCCGCGGGCGCCACCGTGCCGGTGCCATTCTCAGTGGCGGTGACCCGGGGCAGCCTGGGCAGTAACGCGGCCATAGCGCTATGAGGCTGGCTGGCCCGGGCCGCGCCGGCCCACGGCGCAGCCGCTCCCCGTCCGCGGGCGCCACACTATTCAATGATTGAAGCATCATGTTCAAAGGCTTCAGTTGATACTACCGTAGTACCGTAGAAGGCTGACTGTCGGACTCGAGGCCGCTTAGTCACAGTGGCAGCCGCGTAACTTAGGCTAGTAAGTTCCGCCGGTGACTCCGACTTGGCTGACTCGCGGCAGTTGAACGGTTGGCTCTGAGTTGCGGCTGAGCGGCCGGGCGGTCACTGGGGTGAGGGGATGAGGGCGGTTGGGCGCACAGCATCGTACGGGATGAGCATGGGGCCCTACTGAACATGGCGAGCCGACCGAAGGCGGCGGGGAGAGGATGGCGGGAGGACGAGGAGAGGAGGACGGAGTGGAAGGCGAAGCTGCATCAAGCCATGATCCACCAGGCTCAAGAAGACGTGAAGAAGAAGTGGTTGGCTGAGCGAGAGGTCGAGAGAGAGCGCAATATTGCCAAGAAGCTCCTCCCAGCCCAGGTTACATGGTGCGAAGACACGCTGTCCTCGTGGGACAGCACCAGCCACAAGGTCGTCATGCGCGTACCGACTGAGCAAGAGATACGAGGAGGGATCATCACGTACGACTACATCGCTCAGAAGGACGGGAAGGCGCGGGAGGAAGGGCTGATCTTCAGCGCCATAAGGAGCGGATCTCTGGATCTGATCAAGTTCGTGCTAGAGGAGGTTGAAGTTCCCCTCCTCCTGCGAGAGAGCGAGAACTTCAACACTCCTCTGCACTTCGCTGCCGTCTCCAAGAGGGCAGACATCACTCAGATCACGAAGCAGCTGCTTATCCATGGTTTCCTTCCTAACACAGCCAATCGCTACTCCTGGACGCCCGCTGACTTCGCTCGCCATGCGGAGAACAGAGAAGTGATCAACATCTTCGAGGACAAGACGATTGAAGAGAACATCAAGAACGATCTCTTTGATACCATCAGGGGCAGCATACACTCGCGCGAGGAAGCCATGAAAGTGATCATGGCGGCTGTGCGAAGCAAGCAGAAGGACGTTCTTCACTTCGTGCTGATGAAGCTGCCTCACAGCATCAACTTCGTGGACGAGAACAACGGCAACACGCCCTTGCACTACTGCTGTCTGATCGACGACGATGACTCGATTGTTAAGATCCTCTTAGAGCACGGGGCGGATGTGTTTGCTAGGAACCAGCTCGGAAGGACTCCGCTGAATGTGGCAGAGGTGAAGGACAGGCAGAAGTGCCTGAAGATGCTGATCGAGTGGGAGTTCAAACTTGTGTCTGAGAGTCAGGCTCCTGAACAAGAGTTGGCAAGACCAGACAGTGTTCACTTCGACAACAACGCGCAGGTCCTTGAGCTCTATGATGACGAGGATGTGTTTGAAGAGTCAAACGATGATGTGACGTTGCAGCGAGGAGAAAGCCTCCACTCTATCAAGTCCAGATCTCCTTCAAGGGATCATTCCTCGAGGCATCTCGATGAGGATAGTCAAAGTTTCGTGATGGAGGCTCTCAACGAGATCAAGGCCCTGCGATCAAAGATCGAGCAGCTCGAACGGCAGCAGTATCCTCCTGCGCCCTTCTCGCTGAGCGCTGCGTCAGCTTCCCAGCGCTTCCAACAGTCGGGAGAGGAGGAGAGAGGTCAGAGCATTCATGACGAGAGGCATGGAGAGGCTCGTTACCCCGATGATTTTGACAACTTGCACAACAACGGTCCGGCGGCGTACGAGGAAGTCTTTTACAAGCTGCACTTGATGCACTCGAAGCTGATGGAGCAGGAGGAGGTCACGGAGAAACGAACGCAGTACCTGACGTTGCAGCAAGACAGGCTGGTGAGCGATATCAACAAGAAGCTGGAGGAGATCTCCCTACAGCAGCATCGAGCCGCCGAGGTGCTGGCTGAGACAAACTCGCGGATCAACAGCTACCTGATCTTCGACAAGCAAGGCAGACCGTCTCAGACTGGTAAGATCGTCGTCACCCTCAGGGCCGGACATGGACTGCTGCAGGTCGACTCCAAGAAGCTCCCGAACCCGTACGTGATCGCTGCGATTGAGCAGCAGGTGTTCATGACGTCGGAGGCTCCTCAGACGAGAAATCCGATCTGGGAGAAAGAATGCGTGTTCGACGTTCCGATGCAGGCCAGCAAGCTTGTTGTCTCTGTGCTGGACAAGAACAACCTCCGACCCGCCAAGGTCGTCATCCTCGGAAAAGTTCACATCCCTCTCGACCTTGTGCCTGACCAAGACGAGGAGAGCTGGTACGACTTGACGGCCGACGAGTCCGGGAGCTCGATGCGACATGCCGGCTCTATCCGGATCAAGAGAAGGTTCGTCCCGACGCACAACTGGACGGAGTACATGAAGACGCGATCGTATGAAGCCAGTCTGCTGGGGAGGAAGGACGAGCTAGTGGAGAAGCATGTTGCTGACGGAGACAAGGTGAATCAGTTTGGCCTCTACATCAAGTTGATCAAGGGGGACGGGCTTCACTCGGGCCTGGGAACGAGCGACCTGACCTTCAAGATCTCGCTGGAGATGGGAGAGACCAAGGACGAGACTGACGCTGCAGCCATCAGCGACTCGTACTCGTGGAAGTCAGAGGACAAGGAGTTCTACTGGAGCAACGTGGACGCCAGGAACAGGCTGAGACTTTACCTCGAGTATGACAACCATGGTATGAACGAGCGAGTAGCGTACGCGGTGCTCAAGGCCGACTCGTTCCCGTACGAGGAGGTTTACGAGGACTGGCACATGCTGGAAGTCAGCACGTCTTATCAGAGCGTCAAGATCAAGCCCAGGCTGCGGATTGCTTTCTATCGCACCCCGCTCGTAGAACATTTCGAACAGATACGATGCTTGTAAGCTCCTGCCTGCCCCCTCCCTCC